TGTGTTCAATGCTTTCATATGAACTGTCTCCTTTAGTCAAACATGATGTGAAGTACAGATTAATTTGTAGACTGGTGATGTGCCTAGAGTCACAGGATTAACAGAGCCTTTTATACAAGAGGCATTTAAGAGTGTGCTGTGTGCTGGGACTTTAATATACACTAGGGTAGACCATAAGAAGTTCAGGGTAATAATTAAAGTCATTATACTAAATGGACAAAAGCTTAGAATTATAAACATTAATGTTCTGGAGTCAATTCTCATGTGCTTGAGAAAGCTGGTTGTATGTCAAGCTTCCCAAATTCCCATTTTGTAACATTTCGTTAGTAGACTGAAATAGGTCAGCCTAACTTCATTTTGACCTTTGACCACAATCAACGCAAACACTACCATGGAGTGAACACTTGCTTTTATGTTTATTTGCTTTCCAAGAGACTTTAGTTAAGCATTTACTAGCATGGCATTGCTTATAAAGTCTGACTATTGAGTTATTTCCATCATCTAAACTTGAATAAGTATCTTCATATAACCAAGAAGGCAGAGTTTAAATTTCTTCCCAGATTCTTTTTTATTCCAGGCCAAAAGTTGGCAGAGTGGGGAAGAAGCAGTTCTTTAGATCCCAATCCCCAGACTGCAGGCTGAAAGCCTGGATTCTTCTCCTCATATCCCAGTTCTCGTTATGCACTAGAAGTTCAGGGGAGCCGATGGGGATGTTCTAGTATATTCCTCGATTCTCACTGATCGATATACCACATTAATCTAGAGGTGTCCTTGACCATCCACTTAGACACATGTAGTAGAAGTGCAGGACAGCTTCAGTGGACAGGAAGAAGGGGATGGATACACTCAGACCTGAGCATCAGACCCACATCTTTAGATACCTAATACATCTTGTTCTGGATTCCATAACATCACCCAGAGTAGAAGGATGCTATAGACTCTGGCTAGGTCCTTCGTTTCATGGTATGATGGAGGCCTGCTAAAGCACAAGGCCTACAGTACTAGTCCCTAGTGCCTGATCTAAGAATCACACCAAATGCAGAACTTCTGAGGTCCTTATGGAAGTCCTGGTCCACTGAGAGATGATATAAACAAACCTTTTTACATACAAACAAATATTATTTTAAACATCAAATTGTCTGTGTTAATCATAATATTAATAATTTTCATTTATCAGCAGCTTTCTAGGTTTTTTTCTTCTCACTAAATTGTTGGTGTTGAAATGACTACAATTTCAGAACCTGCTCATTAGTTTTAATTCACAAAAAAATAGTTATTGATCACAAAGTAAATGTTATTGGAAAGACTCGAGGATGCTTACCATGTGGGCCTCTTCCACTGTTCAAGCAGAATCCTGTGGCAAATTCTGGACTGGCCTTGCTCTTTACTCATGTCACCATGGCTACTGAGGGCATCACCCTATTTCCTGGTGAAAGTTTGTGGACAACATGACAACAGTAGTGCTCTGATGCCAATGGCAGCACTCATGTGTTTTGTTCCTCCTTTAGATCATGAACTATTGTGCTCATCTCCTCCCTCTAAAATTCACAGAACTGACAGCAGGAGAGGAACTAAAAGGCACATATGAAATCAAGTTAAAGACTTGAAAGAGTTAATGCAGAAAGAACCAAGCCCTTAGAAAGTATACTTTTTTAATCCCAAGAAGTACTAAATCACTTATTTTAGTTAAGGCATTGGTTAGAATACAAATGGGGAGTGTGTGTGTGTGTGTGTGTGTGTGTATGTGTGTGTGTGTGTGTGTGTGTCTGTGTGTCTGTGTGTCTGTGTGTCTGTGTGTCTGCGTCTGTGTATTGTTTGGAATATATTGTTTTGTTTTGATATATGTATACATTATGAAATTGTTAAACTAAGCTATCCACTACCTCTTATATTTACTTTTGGTTGTGAGAACATTTAAGATCTTAGCTATCTTCAAGTAGATCACCCTTTATTAACTAGAGTTACCTGTGTAATTGAGCTCCTGAACTTACTCATTCCTACTAAATGTAACTACCTCCTAAATATAAGTCCCTACTACAACCTCCTTCTAAGGGAGACCATCATTCTTTACTCTCTGCTTCCATGATCTTGGCCATTTTAGGCCCATATATAAGTGAGATTATGCGCTATTTCTGTGTGCCTGGTTGATTTCATTTAACACAGAGTTCTACAAATCCTTTCACACAGATCTCATTTTTTAGTAGTCTATGGTGTGTGACACATTTTATTAATCCAGGCATCTATTGACGAACATTTAGAGTAATTCCTTATCTTAGCCATTTTAAATAAGTGCTCCAATACCATTTGTCCTAACAATAATTTTCTGATATAACACAGAAAATAGTCAACAAAACCAAGAATATCAAACTAAAATTTTTCTGCAGAGCCAAAAACACAATTTTAAAAAGTGAAGAGATGACCAATGGAACAAGATAAAATATTTGTAAGCAGGTCCTGGTTAGTTTTTATTGTCAACTTGACACACCCTAAACAAAGGGTCCCTGGGAAGAGGGAGTCTCAGTTGAATAACTGTTTTGATAGAACTGGTCTGTTAATTTGTGTCCCTGTTAACTTTCTGTCAATATCACACAAGCTAGTAATCCAGACAGAGGAATCTCAACTGAGAAGATGCTCCCATCAGATTTGTCTCTAGGCAAAGTCTGAATTTTCTTGATTAATGGTTTATATGGGAATATCTAGCCCACAGTGGGAGGTGCCACATCTAGGCAGGTCTCCCTGGGTTCTATAAGAAAGCAGGCTGAACAAGCCATGAAAGCAAGCCAGTAAGAAGTGTTCCTCAGTGGTCTCTGTTTCAGCAGCTGCCTGCAGGTGTCTGCCCTGCTTGAGTTCCTGCTTTGGCTTCTTTCAGTGACTAACTGTTGTTACCTGTAAGTGTAAGGTGAAATAAACCCTTTCTTTCCCAAGTTGCTTTTGGTTAGTATTTTACTACAGCAATAGAAAGCACATTAGAAAGCCATGCCATTGAGAGACTGTCCTGGTTGACAAGTGATGTGCAAAGGCCCAGCCAACCATAGGGTGGTTCCATCCCAAGGTAGGTGGACCTGGGCTGTAGAAGAAAGTTAGCTGAGCATGAGCCACAGCATGAACCAGCAGTCAGCACTCCTCCATGCTTTCTGCTTGAGTTCCTGCCCTCGTTTCCCTCAATGATGAATTTTTCCTGTAAGTGTAAGTCGAAATAAACCAAGCTACTTTTGGTCATGGCATTTATCTCAACAACAAAAGGAAAACTAGATCAACATCTATCTAATTAAGGGTCAATATGCAAAATATACATGACCTCAACTCAATAGCAAGAAAGCAAATACTCGGATTAAATATAGAGAGAAAAGACTTGAATAGAATTTCATCAAAAGGAGACACACAAAAGGACACTAGGCAGGTGAACATTGCTTCAAAAATGCCCAATAATTAAAGATGTAAAAATCAAGCTACAAATGACATCATTTCATGTTGTTAGAGGTGTTTGTCCAGAAGATTTAAAAATAAGTGTTTGACAAGACATGAGTAAAAGGGGTCTGTTGGACACTTTTGGGAGGCAGGATGTGAATAAGTTCAACTATTACGTAAACAGGATAGAGGTGATTGAAAATTAAACAAACAGCTGCTACATGATGCAGCAACACTACCACTGGGTGTACAGCCAACTGATAGGAATTCATTAAGTCCAAGGGTTACGTTGAGAGAACCCTTCAAGGGAAGAGTGATGTTTCATTTACCTGCTTATTTTATTTATTTGCCTATCTGCTGATGGAAACTAACTCTTTAAGTTTTTTGGATTTTTTCCCCGTTTTTGATTTTTGAGACAGAGTTTATTTGTATAGCCTTGGCTGTCCTAGAAGTAGCTCTGAAGACCAGGGTGACCACCAAATCACAGAGATCCACCTGCCTCTGCCTCCTGAGTGCTGAGATTAAAGGTGTGCGCCACCACTGCCTTGCCTTCTTTATTTAAAAATTTTTAAGCTTTACCTATTGATAAATTTGTTGTTTCTTTTATTTACTCATAATGTTAGATGCCATGGTCATGTAACTTAATGTTTTTCAACAACTTTTTCATATATAAGTATTTTTATACCATATTTTTAATATTGTTTATGCTTTGAGATTGTAATTACATGATTTCTTCCCTCTAACCCTTCCTATATACCCTTTCTTTCCCTTTTTCAAATTCTTGGCCTCTTTTATCATTAACAACTTTTTTTTTTAAGCTGGAGCTGAATTTACTTAATTTATCCCACTAATAGTGACTACAGCACACGAGATGAAGTAAAAGTTGCTTATGTCTCTTTCATTTGTGTCCTGAATTATTAAGGCATAATTAATTGATTCTGGCATCTCTAGAACTTCTGCTCCCATGTGGTTTTCAGCGCTGACAGCACTTAGGATTGCACCCACGTCTACACCCTCCTTCTGTGGGTGAAAGCGGAACCTGCTGTTATTTTCCAGGGCACTGGGTGTCAGTAACTTAACTTGAAGACGGAAGTTAAACGGAGCAAGTGAGACAAGGCCTTGGTTGATCCTTTACTGTGAAATCGGCTGACAAAGCATCACTGGTGGTTGTGGGGGACATTACCTTACTGGAGGTCACCTGGGAGCTGGGCAGCATGACTTCCCTCTTTGATTAAGGGTTTTGTTTATTTTTACATCAGTCTCCCAGCGCTGAGTCCTTGAGACAGGAAGCAACAAGTTGCAAGCTGGAATGAACTATATCTTCTTGGGAAGTCTGACGTTGGCGGGAGGAGGCCAGAGGACTGCTGATCACTTTCTAGATTTTAGTTACCACTCAAAGATTCTGTTTTAACATAATGACTACACTGTAAGGAACTGGGTCTTGGGAACTGTCCAACAAATCCTCCGTGAACTAGGCCCTCCCACAAGTAAAAAGTTTGTCAGCCAAGCTCTGGATCCCTGGCATATGGCCCACCCTGGATTTTCCCTTTTGTTGCCCTAAGGGCTTTGTGTTGTGAGTCAAATCACTGGGCAACCAAGTATCTTCAGACGAGCCTGAGGCTCTCTAGCTGCTACTATTTACTCCAGACAAAACTGGACAAAGGGAGAATATCTAGCAAAGGAAGTCCAATCCCAGCCTTTAGAGCAGACCTGTACAAAGATCTTTCTTAAAAACATTTCTGTTGGAATATTCAATGACCAAGTAGACGCTACTGCGCCTGTGCTCAGGTGAGAGCCGACAGCTCCTCCCTGCTAAATGCATAGGTTTCTTCTCCAAGTGAGTTTTGCAATAGAAGAGCTGTCACTGTGAACAGGTGGAAACGAAGTAAAAGCGCCTGTCTGCTTGTTCCTGTTGCTGCAGCTGGCTCAGGCACAGGAGAAAAGACAGGTGAGAAATGCTTCTCTTCCTCTGTTGATTCGGAACTGGGGCAAAGCTTTGCTTGAGCTGTGGGAGTTTATGGTTTCCAGAAACCTGTTAGAGTACTTTCTCTTGCTAACTGCTTCCCCTGTGGACGATGAAAGCTCTTTGTTTTAGTGTTGTTGTTGTTTTTGTTGTTAAATGTTCAATCGAGGAAGTGACTGCACCTTCATATCAAGCTAGCCTTCCTCTTTTGCCAGCCTCAACTGTGTCTGGGGCAGGGTCAAAGCAGAGCAGCAAGGAGCACAGTGGCTTCCAAGGAAAGCACATCAGCACAGTGGAAACAAGGCAGACATGTCTGGAGCAAGAAGGTTTCTGTTCCAAAGGATATCTAGGACCGAAGCTGGTTTCCTTTATTCGATATGTTCTGTGTGTTTTGGTACCCACAGAATATTTGATAACGGAGATGATTGGACTCAACTCTGATGATTGACCAGCCCCTAGATTAAACTCTGTGGACAGGGGGGAAAAGGAACATCTACATCAAACTCCAGGAGCATGTCATTCACAGCCCTGGGCTGCAGTAGGATGAACCATCAGGCATCTGGAATAGGCTCAATTTCTGGAATGTAGTGGATCTGATTGCTTCTTGGCAGCTTGTCTTTTCCAATTATATTTGGCTTAGTCTGATTGTCAAATTACTTTGCAATTCCCAAATTAATCTAGGATGTCTGTAGAGGGGACAGAGACAACTCTGTCTACAAAGCTGATTGCCTATGATGGAAGGAAAGCTCTAATGAAATTTTTTGAAATGTTCTTTGAATAATCCACAATCCAGCCAAAAGGAAGGCAATGCATACTATTCCTTGGACCTTTGTTGAACCAAAAGAGCCAAAAGTAGCACACTTTTCTAAAATGCTGGTCAATTAAGGCCAGCCTGCAGTTTTACTTTGTTCCCTGAATGCAGCTCAAGAAAAAAAATAATTGCATGTAATTTGAATAGATTTAATTAAAAACATAAGATTTTTCATAATCAATGTGTGATATAGTTCAAAGAATTTAGAATTTTTTTTGTACTCTCATTACATCAGTAAACAAGAGGATTCATAATTTCAGTTCTCGTTGACTTGTGGTAACTCCACTATGGTGAAGATCACATTTCCTTTTTACCAAGTATGAAGGAAGTTTTTGAATGAAATCTGGTACTTTCAACAAGATAGCAAGCAAAACAGTGAACTTCTTCAAGAGCACCAAGTGGTTTTTTTGTAATGGTTCCATAGAATTCATTATTTGTATGAGAATACAGTCAGTAAAGATCATGTGCCTCAGCCACTTTATTCAAGCAAGTTAAAATTAAAAATAAATTTTGACAAATTTAAAGCCCTTAAGTTAAAAGTCTATAGGTAACAGATATCATGAGTTAGAGAGAGTATGTACTCCAATGTTATTAAGCTTTAATATTATTTAGGCATCATGAGCCCAACCCAGCCAGCAGTAACTTTTCCACATACAAACTGTTTGATTTAAAGATTGACCTACAAGTGAATAATATTTTTTAAGTCTTAGTGATATAAAGTTTAGAGAAAAAAAAACAAAAAACTTTTTCCTACTCTTTTCTACAAATATAAATCAAAAATAAAATGTCAAATGTTGAGGTTGGCTAAGCAAAGACCTTGAGAATGAGTCGCTGCTTTAATAGTATCATGTTAATAAACTGAAATTATTCCCTGGAAGAAGATACAAACATTAATTTTCCATGATGCAATAGTATGTCAAAACTTCCCTGAAAATGAGCAGATGGAAATTCACAGACATTGACAGTTGATGTGTTCATGGTGTTCTCGTCTGATGCTACTAAAATAGTCTGTGGGATTAGTGGTCTCCAGTAGTACCCTGCAGTTCTAACTTTATGTATGGTTACTATGACATCCCTGTATCATACTGTCAATCCTCTTTAGAGACAATTGCTCAAATTAGATATTTGATTTCTGTATTCTGCTTTTTCACAATAGACATTTTTCACCTAGTGAGTATGCATCAGACTAATGAACACAGACTAATGAACTAACAGTGGGTGTGGTGCAGAAGATCTCTTTGCCTCCATTTTCCTGCCTGGCTCTGTATCTAACCAGGGCACTGAAAGCAGGGACATCACAGATGATTTCTTCCTGCCTCCAAGAGTCCTAGTACTAGCTTTTTTTAAGACCAGTACACAAACTAAGCTTCACAGCTGTTTTCTTTTCCTTCTTTTCGGAAGAGAGAAAAATTGGTGATCAATTTCTATACATAAAATTAAGAAACAGAAAAATGACAAAACTCACACCTATTTCTAAAGGAGGATCATGTCAAAAACAACTTAGTTATACCAAACAGAGTTCCCAGGTAAAGTCCCTAGCTGTGGAGAGGGAAACTTCAGCAGTTGATTAAGAAGGGAATATACACATGGTAACACTGTGGAGTGGAAAGCAAACTCCTCCATCAGATAAGAAGCTGCCAGGACCCAAGGGCTGTTTTACAGGCCAGGCAGGACTGCTCTTTCCCACCACACCCAATATAATGCTTCATAAGCTAATAATTCTTTCTCAAAAACCTAAATAATAATAAGCATGAAATAAATATTTTCATTTTACAAGTAAAATGTCTACTGTTTTCCTTTTCTTCTTGGAAACGTAATAATGTGTCACTAACCAAATTCCCACGATGCTTTTCTAAGTTCAGTTGGAAGTTGGGTGAATTGGAAACAGAGGTCAACAAATCCTGTGTGTAGCAAGCCTGTGGCTTTTCAGGAAGTTTTCTTTTAAATATTTATGATCCTTAATGGCCTTTTTCTTTTCAATTTTTCATATTTACCCCAGTAAATACACAAAATTAGCCAAGAAAAGTTAAAATAGGGAGTAAGTTGCCCATCTCAACATGTTTTTGTTTGAATTGTCATTTATATTCATTGTGAAGCTAAGAAGGAGACTATGAATTGTAGAAATGTCCTACAAAGTTCCTGTATAGATGTCTAAATTGTTTTATTTTAGGAAAACCTAAGTCCTAGTGATTCTCCCATGCACTCCCCCAGGTATCCTCCATTCCGCACAGTGCTGATGTCTAGGGCTCTTCTCTCCCCAGGTTATGTATTATTTAACCAGATGGGTTCCAGGCAAAGCCCAGGTTTCTTTAATGACTGGAAACACAATTTAACCTCTTTAGCCCAAATGCTCTAAATAGAGGAGAAGGAAAAAAATTAAAAGAGATAGATGAAGTTTTCAGAATAGGCTGGAATAAAATAACTACCTGTTGGCACAGATGTCTGCAGTTCTGATCGCTCCACCAGGGCATTTTCTCAGTTTTTAAAGAAGTTGACATCGGGGCATAACGCATCTTTAAGTACAGAAACCGTGTTCATCATGATGGAAAAATCTGTCTTATAAGAGTATCCATTAAGTAACAATGTTTCAAATGCCAAATGGAATAATTATCATTTCAACCAGGGACTCTTAAACAGGAGCTCCAGACATAGCTTGGCACATAAGAGGGCTTACTGCTCTACCTGAGGACAGGAAGTACATTGTAGCTAGAGTTTTCCTGCCTGGCCCATAGTCAGGACAAATCTCTCTCACCCGCCAATCCCACAGCCGCTCAGACCCAACCAAGTAAACACAGAGACTTATATTCTTATATTGCTTACAAACTGTATGGCCGTGGCAGGCTTCTTGCTAACTGTTCTTATATCTTAAATTAACCCATTTCTATA